TTCAGTCCGGTTTTTGAAGGGTAGGGGGGTAAAGGGTAAAAGGAATGGGGAATACGGGAAAAGGGGCCCCCCCCCCCCCCCCCCCGTCTTCCGCCTCGTTGCTCCGGACAACAAGGTTGTTGGAGACTTGAGCGAGTACGGGCGGGTCATCAGCTTTGACCGACCAGGTTTCGGCAGGACGGAGAGGGTCATGCCGCCGGCGGGAGGCCTGCCGTGGAGGCTCTGCTCGAAGACCATGGGCGAGAACCCTTACTCGGCAGACTTTGCGGCGAAGGTCCTCTTCGGCGTCCTGGATAGGTCGGTCGGTCGGTCGGTCGGTCTGTTGGTCGGACTCTTTGCCTGCTGCTCGATCGTACTCGCTCTCTCGCGCTGTTGTCGTGTTTGTCGTCACCATCTATTGCGTTTCTGGTGTCATTCTCCTCCGCGAGCAGAGAACAGCGACATATAAAGCTCTTCAACCCCCCCCCCCAATCCCTTGCCCCACTAGCCCCCCACTCGGTGTTTGCCATCGGGATTGGGTTTTCGTCGCTTGGCAACGACGTTGTAAAACAAGCCAATTCACTTCGTGAACTCGGCAACCAGGTTACCGTTTTTTATTTTTACCTCGTTTTTTTTTTTGGCGGTAACCATAATGGTGGTCGAGTAGATCATGTTGTGCGGGGTGGAGAAACCTCACTCCGCGCAACGGGGGATGATCGCACCACGTTGTGTTAAAATGGTCAAGCTTCCTCGAGGCAGTTACACCGTGCTTGCAACTGTCTCTGGAAGTGAAAGCACCAGAAAATAAATTAAGTCATACGTAGCTGTCATCCGTACGCAAGGAAGTAAGCACAAGATGCCGAACACCCTTTGCAGGATGCAGCTCACCCTTCATGCGACTCGCCAAATACCTCACGGCGCTTCGCGCTTGGTGATGTGAGAGCCTGGTCCGGTGAGAAGCCGGCGTGCTCCGTCCCGGCTTTGTAGGGATGCGAGGTCAATGGTCAAACGACTACGGCATGCACGACTATGAGTACACCCCCCCCCCCCCCCCCCCTCTCGACTTCCTTCCTCTCTCACGTCTGATCGACACGACACACACGGCGAGGCAGGCTCGGCGTGGACAAGGTGATCGTCGTCGCTCACTCCCTGGGGGCCCAGGTGGCCCTGCGCGCGGCGAGGTCTCGGCCAGGCATGATTCGCGCCATGGTGCTCGTCGCGCCCGCCGTGCTGAACCCCCTGGACAGCAAGTTCGTGATGGGGAGGGACCCCAACGCCAACCTCTTCTCGGCGATCCTTAACCTTAGGACGCGGGTGGAGATGACCGCCAAGCTCGCAGCGTTCAACCTACAGGTTGGTTGGTTCGTACGATGGTTCTCGTGTGTGATAGTCTTGCTTGGCGCTTGTAGTTGCTTGAGTGTAGCTGATCTCCACACGCGGCACTAACGCTGGGATGCCACACGAGGCGCTCTACAGCAGCAAGGATGCCTACCTTGCCGCCAGGCTTGAACTTACTCCCCATACAGTACGTTGCGTCTGACCGATACATAAATATGAGATCTCTACGATTTTACAAGAACAGCAGTGCTACATGAGCATTGACTCGTCATGTGCTGAAGTTTCTATATAGTATCATTGTCTTTCGTCTTGATGTGCTTCCTCCTCCTCGTGCACGCCACGTTCACAAGTAAGAAGTCTCTGAATCTGCTGTTCGTCCCATTTTGCTTCTAGTCAGCGCACACCTGTTCGTCGTATAATAGTGCCTCGCTCAGCCCGCTCTGGGTAAGAGCCGAAGCGAGAGGAAAGTTGACTCGCTCCCTGGCGCCCCATGTTTGCGGCCTCGGTAAACCGCAGCACCGAGATGGGTTCGCGGAGACGTACGCCTCCAGTTGGTGTTCGTGCATACGCCGTAGAGATGTACCCTCGCGTAGCGTACGTGATGCATGGTACGGGGACCCCCGGTAAAACGGAAACAAGAGGCCGACCTTCCAGCTGGTGCCATAGATGCAGAAGGGGCACAACCACACCGTTCTCACTCCCACCACGTTCTGCTGCACGCTTTTGCGTCAAAGCATTATTCGAAGACATCGAGAACATCCTTTTGACGGTTTGCCTACATTGTTGTTACCGTCGCACCCGGTCTTTCGCGTGCTTTACGTATGTGCGTGGGCGCGGCAGCTTTTGCAACCGGGCGAGGGGCCGTTGCACGCCGTCCGGAACATGACGCTAAACGGCGACGTAGAGGTGAGCGACTTGACGCCCTGGCACGACTGAATCAAGTTCCCCCATTGTGATCCAAAACCGGAGTAGATTTGGCGTCGTGTGTCTTGGCCTACTGTTATCTGTTATGGCCATGGAAGGAAGTCGTCGTATCTCGCCCGAAGGACCGGTACGGAAGGAGAGGACCCGGAATTGCAAGTCGAGGAAGTCGGTTTTCGCAGCGCGCTCTTTGTTGCCTATTAGCAAATGGATCACTTTTCGACCGATCCTGTTCCCGAGTGATTTAGCTCCCACACCTCCCCCTCCCTGTTAATAATTTCCGTGATCTTGTTACGACACGAAAGGCGCCAACTTGTCTGTTGGTACGTACCCGCAAAGGAAATACGCGCTTTCTACGTGATAAGAAGGGGTGGACTCGTGCTGTGGAGCTATCGCTACGACTACTACTGAGGCAAGGGAATCATGGGTACAGAGAACGCTTTCGTCCGCACTCGCTTTAAGTGAGCATGACACGTATTCCCTCCCCCTCTCCCCGACCTGCAGGAGAGAGTGCAGCAGAATTTTCACGACCGGTCAATCACGCTCGGTCGACCGGAGCTGGTTGCCAAGTACATCGAGCCTTTGAGGGATCCTCTCTGGGACAGGGGGCTCGTACATTTCTACAAGTCGCTGCAGGTGGGGTCTTGCGTGTGCTTTTGTGTTTCGTGAGTGTGTTGTACCATATGGTATAACTCCGTGCGTGTGCTTTTTTACTCCGCATCGCCCGCACTGATCCGAACGAAAAACCTTCACCCACAGAATCCGCCGAAAATCGGCTGGTGTGTGTGTAGACTATGCGGTTGAAGGAGGAGGGTGTGGAGAGAGAAGGATATGCTACAAAAGGACGAGAGCGGAGGGTCAAAGGGTAAATAATATGTCACTAAGAGAGATGCGGAGATATCGATAGGAGGGTACTCACTTGGTCCTGGCCTCTGCAGTCGTTTGACGAACGCCCACGCATCTGAGTCGAGACCGGATAGATAGCGGGGGGGGGGGTGTAAAGAGACTGGCAGAGTGGGGCCGAAGAAAAAGGCACAGATTGAAAGGCAAAGGTCATTCGTCCGCTGAGTATTAGCGGCCAGGCGAAACAAGCCCGGCTCACAGCGTGTCTTCATGTATCTTGTGTGCCGCGTTCGTTGTGCCGTGGTGGTGTCGCTTTTTGCTCCGGCGGGGGTTACGTTAATACGCACCCAGGGGGAGGTGCAGCCGGGAGAGCAGCTGCTCCAGAACACGCTCGACGTGTGGAAGGGCCCGTCCATGATCATCACCGGCGACGATGATCCGACCGTTCCCACTCAGGTTTGTCGCAGAGCAGGCGGTAGTCGGCTGCAACCGAATCACGAGCAACAGGTGGCTTTTCTTAAGCAGTCGATAGTGAGACGAAAAGGCAAACAAACACCGGCAAGAGGTGAAGAAAGGTACAATAATAGGGACATCAAGAGCGGTAATGCCGTCGTCTTCCACCTTTTGACTTTTCGCTTCTCCCTTGTCTGGCGGTTTTTGGCGCCGTGGGTTTTCCATGACCTTTCCCTCCCTCTCCCCCGCCGTGCTTCAAGATCACGCGATACTATTCGGCGTCGCCCCCAAGTCGGGGCAAGGAGGGGAGGAAGAAAACCTTCTCGTCTCCTGCGATCGTTGGTCCTCTCTTTTTGCTATCTTGGGTCCAGCGATAACAGCAGTACACCACAGACAGACGACCCGCACACCTTCGGCGCACGTGTTTGATGAAAGTGCCGTCGCTCGTGTCGAATATAACCTCTCTCGCTGCGGCGAAAGTCGGCCGTACTTAACCCCCTCCTAAGCTGGCGCAGTCAGTAGCGTCTTGCTGGACGTTCCGCCCTACAGCAGTAGTTCTGATCGAGCGTGTCCGCCCCCAAATTATTTCGCGTTTCCCCGCCCCCGCCCCCTTCCCCCTCAAAACCTGCACGTGCCGTTGCCCCCACCCCTCGTTCCCCTCCAAACCTGCCCGCACCCCCCCACCCATCCAAACCTACGTTTGCTTGTGCGACGGGATGACGCAGTCAAGCATATACGTCGCGGAGGCGATGGAGGGGAGGCTCGTGGTAGTAGAGTCGTGTTCCCACATACCCATGGACGAGCGAGCAGAGGTAGGCCGGCGTGCCCCCCTCTCGTGTGTGTCTTGATGGAAATCTGTGACCCGGCATAGATGTGTGGGGGCGCACTGTTCAGTGTCGGGATCAGGCGTTTCGTTGTGAACGTTTCGGGGTTTTGCTTTCGATCGGCGCACCGTTGGATTCATGGTCTGTCTCCGCTCATCTCTCGCGTTCGTTTGCGAAGCGGGTGCGTGTGGGTTGGTTGTGTGGGTAATTCGAAGTCGATCAGTCGGTATGTATCTTATGTTGATCGATGCTGTCGGTGCAGGGCTTGAGAACGGTGCCAATATACTGGTTAGGTCCATTCCCCGTTCTCTTTCTGACTTTAACGAAACAGCTGTGCTTTGCAGACATTCACAACATCAGCTGCTGTTCTTAGTAGCTTTTCTCGTGGCTCTCTGTGCGTGTTGCCTTACGTAGTTTGTGGACCTTTCTTGGACTCTATCTAAACCAACAGGGCGTCATTGGCTATCTAGATTCATTCATCCCATCCCCCCCCCATTTCCCCGTCTCTGGCTCGTGTGTCGACGTTTTCGTTGTCAAGGTCTTCTCTTCCGCGGTGCTGAGCTTCGCCAACAGCGTAGAGGTCGAGGACGCGTGGCAAGCCGTCGGCAGCAGCGCCAAATCTTGGTGGTAGGCGTTACGGCCCACGCACGCATGCCGAAGGGCTATATCAAAAAGATGACACGCGACCGGACCCCCCCAGCTCCTTGCACTTGGGGAGGGGCTCGCTGCGTGTCGAGAGGCGTGTGGCATGTTGCCGTGTTGGATGACCGAAAAGGAGAAGAGAGAGAGAGCGCGAGGCGAGCGCTTGGGGTCGGAGGTGTTATACACTGGGGTGACTGATGTCAGAGCTCCCTGCTGATGCGGAGACATCAACAATGATGATAAGACGTCGATCTCGCTCTAGAGCTGTAACTTTTTGCTCGAATCTGTTGGTATTGACCTACCCGGGAATGATGATCAGAGACAGAGAGAGCGAGAGATGAGAGGAGAAAGGGAGAGAGAAAGAGAGAGAGAGAGAGAGAGAGAGAGAGAGAGAGAGAGAGAGAGAGAGATTGTGGATAAAAATACTATTACCAGTGTACTATTTGGTACGGCGAGCCGGAGATACTCTTGCAATCTACTGCCGCGCCTGATTGAAATATACAAACTCGACATGTTTAGTGATTGTGCGCATGAGACACTATTTTGCTGCACATCACATGGAAACCACATGTGTTCCCGACAGAGGTTAGGATGCGTTGGTAGGCCGCGCGAAGCACTGGGGGGGGGGGGGGGGGGGGGGGCTACTGGTAGTCGTGCATGCCGTATAGTCGTTTGA